TCTCCTATCTGCCTCCATACTAGAGATGGAAGTTAGGTACCATCTGGCTTCCCTTTCGGTGTGCTTTTCAGAGAGGCCCTCCATAGTGACCCTGCCTGAGCCCAGACCTTGTACAGTGGGGTCTTGACTTAAGAACGACTTGAGTTAAGAACATTTTGACTTAAGAACCACTCTCATAGGAAAATATTGACTTGATTTAAGTACTTAGATTTGAGTTAAGAACTGAAAAAAACCCACGTGGGAGGCAGGGAAAGTGCAAAATTTGAACTTTCGGTTAACTGTTGGCCAGTGAAAAGGGTGCCTGTCTGCTTCCTCACTCCTCCCAGCGTTTAGAGAGTGGATTGGGAGACAGTCTTCGCACTGCCTGGTACTGTCCTGCCTGGACTGTATTTTCCCTGCCTTCCCTGAACCTTTCTTGACCTAAGAAAAAAAGAAACAAAATATCCCCCTCTAGTGGTCGAAGGCAGAATAGCAGCTTCCCATTAGTTTCTATGGACGGAAAAAAGCAGATACGGATCAAATGGTTTTCAATGCATTCCTATGGGAAATGCAGATTTGACTTGAGAACTTTTTGACTTGAGAACCGCTTTCCAATACGGATTAAGTTCTCAAGTCAAGACCCCACTGTATCCTACTTGCTAACAGGATAATACACCTCTTGTTATTTGTTTGTTTGTTTATAATTTTATTGTTTTGTCTGTGTTTTTATTTTATGTTGTGGGCCACACAGAATAGTGTGTTGCACTAATGGGGGGGGGCAATACAAATTGAATGAATGAATAAATGAATGAATGAATGAATGAATGTTGAGGAGAACAGAAAAAGAGCAGGGCAGTCGACGACAGCACATTTTGGAGATTACTCATTCATAGAGTCACCATAATTCAGAAGTGACTTGATGGTACATAACACCACCACCACCATCATTTATCTAGGGGGAGGATCACTGCGATATGTCATATTTTTTTCTGCAGCCTGTGTTTGAACCTAAAAGTGGGTTTGGACATGTTTATGAGTTATCTGGTGAGAAAGGCCAGATTACTCATAAACATGTTGAAACTTGCTTGTGGTTCAAGTATAAGTTGCAGAGAAAGTGTGAAATACCATAAGAAATCCTCCCCCTAAATCAATAAATTAGCACCACTTGACAAAACTGGGCAAAGAGCCTTGGAGATAAGAATGGGTGAGGGACATACAGTACCTGAAGTGAGGCAATGTGTGTAGTGGTTAGAACCCCGGATTAAAGACCAGAGAAACCTCAGTTAACATTTCCCCTGAGACAGGAATTTCATGTAGGATCAGTTGCTACCTCATAGCTCAACTCGCCTCACAGGGTGGTTGTGACAATTGTGGGAAAAGAAACCTGTATACGCCACTCTTAATTCAGTAGTGTTGGGAGTACAACTCTCATCAAGGCCAGGTGAACGTGGCCATAAGAAGGCATCTGGTCAAAGTGGTCAGAGGTAACTTAGCAATGAATCTGACTGGGACCATCAAATGTTGTGATCCTGGCTCCCTCTACTGGAAACCAGGAGGCATTGTTGGTTATTGAGGAACATTAGCTGAATCCAGCTGATCCAGCTAGACACATTCAGGGATCCAGGCAGGTTGGTTTTATATCCGGCTTTTCTCCCAGTGCCCTTGGCTCACAGCCTGAATTGAAACAGTTAATTCAGTTTAATAGTATTAAAACACAATTAAATAAGTTGCCATGTTAAAAACAAGCCGTGACTTGAAACAGTTTAAAGAACCATTTAAGAAAGGATGACACCCAGGATTAAAAGATCCCTCCTCCACATCCAGGTTTATCTCAGTAAAAAAGAGATAATGGAGTGCAGGGAAGAGGCCAGATTAGCTTCCCCTGTAGGGGAGTCCTACAGCCTGAGAGCAACAGCCAAGAAGGCCCTCTCTTGTGTCCTTACCAAATATGCCTCTGATAGTGACAGAAGTGTGACAAATTATTCCACCTAAGATCTCAAGCTCCATGCCAACTTATACAGGGAGATGCTGCCCTTCAGGTCATCCAAACTCAAGCGGCGCAGGGCTCTATAGGTTCTGATCAACACCTTGAATCAATTGTTTCTGTTGCAAAGTTTTGAATTTGTAGTAAAATTCTCTTTTTGCTGTACAGGAGATGCACGGAGATCCACAGAGGAGGATAGCTACAAGTCCCCCATAGCCCACCCCTTTTTTTCATTAACTGGCAGTTAAAGTCTCAATAATTTACTCTGAGACATTTGTAGGAGAAAGAATAAAAAACATTTCTTTTCTTACAGTTACTTGAAGTTACAGACTTGTGTGTCTTGCTTTCTTTACTGCACACATACTGTACTTAGCAGCCAACTGAACAGATCAACAGCAAATAAGCAACTGCTAAAAATCTGGAAAAGAGAGCGAAAGAGCTCTCAGAATGGTGGGACTTTCTTTGGGAGAGACAATTGGCTAGTGTTGTATAAATAAACAGTCATCTCAGTCCAGAAAAGTCCATCCTAGTCACTCAAACAACAGACAGCATGTGAGGTTGAAAATAAAACTCCCAACAGTTTCCACATGTGAGCTTTTTGGCAATGCTAAGTACTGCTGATATGATGCAAAGGTTCCACCCAGAACTTAATCTGGTAAGACATCAAGGTAAAGCATTAAAACAGTGCTTTACTGTGCCAGTTACAGCATATGGTTTCCACCCAGAATTGATGGGAATGCTTGAAGATAGTGGTTTTGTCATGAATCTAGCTTGCTTTGTTTCCAGAATTTGAGCGGGGGTGGTGGTGGTATTCCAGACATCATCTTCCATGTGTAACCCATATTTTCTCACTGTTCCTTTTACCTTTTTATTTCTACCTCAGGAGATCTACTAAACAGGGAAAGGGTAGAAGAAGGTAGAACAGCAGCTATACAATGTCCTTCTAATACAGAGACCCACAGAGGAGTATAGCTACACATTCCCCATATAATCCACCCCTTTCTTATTAACTGACACTTAAGATCTCGATACAGTGGACCCTTGACTTACAGACGGCTTGACTTACAGACTTTTTGAGTTACAGACTTCTCTGGCCGCAAAATTTAGGTTTGACTTGCAAACTGAGATTTGACTTACAGACCAGAAAAAAACCAAAATGGAACAAAAACGGCCTGTTACGGGATTAATCGGTTTTCAATGCACTGTAGGTCAATGGAGACTTGACTTACAGACTTTTTGACTTGAGAACCGCCTTCCAATACGGATTAAGTTCTCAAGTCAAGACCCCACTGTAACTCACTCTGAGACATTTGTGGGATAAAGCATTAAAATGTTTCATTGCTTACAGCTCTGAACAGATCAACAGCAAACAAGACAACAGATTGCATCAGACAAAACAGAAGAAAAGAGCACAGAGCAGAGAGGCGGGGCTCTTTTTCAATTCAGAGACAGGAAGGAACAATTGGTTAGTGCGAGATAGATGGACAGTCAGCCCAGCCTCAGAAAAGTCTCCCTTAGACACAGCATTTTGAAGTTGTAAAAGCCTCAGCAATAACAAGGTGTGTCTTTTTGTAGGAACGGCCTGGGCATCCTGTTCAGTTACTGTATGGGTGCTCCAAATATATTCCTGGGCGCAGAATTATTCTAATAAAATCCAACTTTATGGTCAGTGTCCTGCTTCATCCGTGATTGCAAAAAGGGCAAATTCGTAAGCACTCCCCGGGATTCTTCTAGCTGCAAATTTGTTGTGCTTTGGGAGATGGGCTCTGCAACCAGCCCCAACAGAGGGGCTGCAAGAGCAGGGAGATGCTCAACCCAATCCCCCCCCTTCCACTCTGAATGGGATACTATCTGTGACCTTTTGCATCACACTTTTGTCTTAATAAAAATTAAAATAGATCCCATAATCTTGAAGACTGCCTGCCTTTCTTAAAATATGCTGTTTTATTGTTCCTCTTATTCCTATCCCGTGTGTGTGTGTGTGTGTGTGTGTGTGTTTATGTGTGTGTTTGTGTGTGTGTGTGTGAGAGAGAGAGAGAGCTCATTTCTTTGCCCGCTCTTCTCTCTTTCTCTGTAAGCCATATGAAATTAAATTGAAGGCTATGGGCTCCCCCCAGATTTATAACTATTGATGATTCGGCGGCTAAGTTTACAAATAGTGAATTTTCACTCCTGTTTTCTTAGAAAGAAGTTCCTTTGGGCTCCCAAGTGAGTGTGTGTAGGATTGGACAATAAAGTACTGTTGCCATATGCCTGGGGGAAAGTGTGGGCTGGCTGTGGGCTGCATGCTGCTTCCCTAGGGCTTAAAATTGTCCCTCGGGAATGCCAGGTTTTGAATCTAAAATTGTTTTAATTGTTTTTTTAGAGACTTGTTTTGCCCTTCCTTCATAATGTTGGTATAGTTACGATGCGGAGAAGACTAATCAGAACAAATACTCATACCTGCCCCTCCCCCTTTTTAAAGCTGTTGAATAGACTCTATCTGACAATGGTCCTTTGTTTGGAAAACTCCTTTTCACTTTCTATTAGAAAACTGTGGCCTCTCTGCTCCGCTTTGGTTTTTCTTGAAAGGCAGGTGGCATCATTTTGGCAGTAAATCAGGGGGAAGTACATATAGGGAACATTGGTGAATAGAGGAACCTGTGTGAGGCTTATGCTAGGTCCATCAAGGCAGAGTTCTCCTTCCACCTTCACGTTTCTGGCAAGACTAATTCCCAGACCCACCTGGAGTAGGAATGTGCAGATTTGTGCTTTTGGATGCTAACCTGGAGATGCTGAGGATGGAACGGGGATGTCCTGCAGATAAAGCATCCCTTCTGATGGTTTATCCCTGTCAGTCATGCAAAACTATAGTGCTTGGATGGATGGCAAAATAAGGTGGTCAAATTTCTGCAGCTGCTTTTATCTTCTTTGGGAGAGGGGTGTTATTCTACTCTGTTAAAGGGAGAGAGAAGATTGCCCAATGCTGATCAACTGGCTGGACTAAAAGTATGGTAAATGTATCTATAAAAGCATAAATGTACTCTGCCTCTTGCAGGTCTGGGTATTCCAGCAAGAACAGAGCTGCTCTCTGTGCTCCATTCTACCAGATGTACCGCTGACTGCACCCACCCTCTGATGAACCATGTTCAACCCAGTGAACCCACCAGTGAGCAATTATGTGGATCACTGCTACCTTCGGCCCCTCCATGGGCAGGGACAGCCCGGCACGATGGTGGAAGGTCAGTCTCTCCGCTGCAGCATCTGGGACATGCGGATGAGGAAGAACACCATCTGTCAGCTCAGCTCTCCATCTGAGCCATCTTTTCCTCCTTCCATTCCATCCTATACTAGAGTGGTCTTCAGACCATCTTAACATCTGAGGACCTTTTTCCGTACCCCATGTTGGTTGATTCTGCAAGGGTTTCCTGCATTTCTGAAAGGGAATTCTTTTATTTTACAGAGCTGGCTGTGGAATCCATGCCCCTTTAGATGTTGTTACAGTGTAACTCCCATCAGCCTTAGCTAACATAGCCAGTGGTGAAGGATTCTCTTTGTGGCACAGTAGTTAAACTGCAGTACTGCAGTCAGGATTCTGCCCACATGCTGAATTCAATCTGGACAGGCTCAGGTAGCTGACTTGAAGTGGACTCAGCCTTCCATCCTTCCAGGGTCTGTTAATTGAATACCCAGCTTGCTGGGGATGGGGAGCAAAGTGTAGCCTACATAATTAATTAGTATAGCACCCAGATAATGCTTTAAGCACTTGGAATGGCATCCTTCAGTCTCGAGAGACTATGGTAACATACTCTGTATGGAGGACTTGGAGAGTGTCCTCTCCAGAGCACGAAGCCTGTGTAAAATAATATGGAAGACAGGGTGTTACCCAAGCAGCAAATCCCCCCTCTCCATGTCACTGAAATAGTCTAATGGAAAGGCAAGAGCCAATACAACTGGTTCCAGCGATGTCGCAGGAGTTGCCAGAACGACACGAACTGCTTCTGGGACTCTGGCTCTGGATTTTGCCTCGAGGTTAACTCCTAAAGCCTTTACCAGAAGTGGATATAGCCACAAGGCAGTGGAGGTTTGAAATGGGAGTTTTCCTTCTCCTAGATGGGCTGCCTTCCAAGGCTGACGAGCCCCACCTACCCGGTCTGCTCTCTTAATAGTGGGGAAGTATGATCTGACCCTTAAAAGTTTCTTGCCCCCAGGTGTATGCAATGCTAATTGGCTTTCTTATTTACCAGATTAGGGTCAAAAATAGAATGAGAGAATTTTGCGCACCGTTAGGCGCGCGCTTCTGCTCACCTTCATTTAAAGCTAAAACCCTGCCCCCTCATACCATGTGGTCAGGGAAAACAGAGGTCAGCCTAGAAAAAACACCTCACCAAGATGGTTTACCCAAACATACCTGCCCTCCTGCCTCAGCCTCTTCTACTTTAAGCACTATGGTGCGGTATATAAGCAGTGCCCTTTTCTTCCCTTTGTAAGAGTTAAAGTCCAAAAACATCTGAAGGGTCAGGGTTGTCCACTGATGTGGAGAACATGAAGACAGGACACTGAAGGGGCGCCATGTTCAGCTTTAGGCACCTGAGAGGGTGCTTGTGCACACCAGAACACGAACCCCTGATGGTACATTCTGAAATAAAATTGGTAGTGGCAGGCAAGCCATTTTTTTAGGGAAGGCATGGCTACTGCAGTCATCAGCTGCTGAAAGCAACCTTAACAAGCTCTGGTTTTACCGCCAGGAGGATGGAGAGAGGTCCTTGTGGGTTGTTGTTGTTTGTTTTGTTTTGTTTTTAAATCAGCTGTCAAAGTGGCTTGGCTGGCTCTCCGTAACATGGGGGTTAGGCACAATTTGCTATTCTTCCTCTGGCAGCAAAATGTCTTGGGTTGGCCCTGCCGGGTAGCATGAGTCATGATCAAGGGTTCTGGGACCTGTGGGTTATACTACCTGGAGAGCACTATGTTGTCCCTGCCTCTGCCAGAAACCAGTTTCCCGCATCTTTTTCCAAACACTCTAACTCTACCCACTCTAACTCTACCCATCCACATGGACACCTATCCATCCACTCACCAGTCTATCCATCTTCAGTCCTGGATCTTAGGAAAGCAGGATTACTCTTCTCTAAGCTCCAGCAACATCTTCCATAGAGAAACTGCGATTGTTCTTGTTTCTTGGAGAGGAACCCTATAGAAATTGCTTTTATTGTTATGTGAGAGTGTCAGAAAACCCACAAGACGGCTGCCAGCTTGGTGGATTTAAAGCAGGATTATAGAACTATACAGAGAATGTTTAAAGTATTTATTTATTGAACTGATTATTTCGGTTCTGCTCAGGAAGCTTTCAGGGCGGATAGTTTCTAGGGGGAGAGTGCCACTGCTTATGGGATCAAGAGAATGTCATCCAGATACAGTTAGATCAGGGCAAGCTTAGGGAAACCACACAAATCTTTTTGGGGAAAGCAGTGGTCCTGAGATGGAAGCTCTCCTCCCATTTCCCCCTAGGAATCCAGAATGGAGTGGCTGGAATCCTGGATAGGGAGCATCCCACACCACCACCGTATTTTGCTGTGGGGTTTACTTCGTCATCATACTCATAGGCAACTGCAATGTTTAGAGACACCAAATAGTAGATGTTGGGGGACAAACAACAGCAAAAAGCCATCATTACATGGCCTGCTTTTCAAATGTTCAGGCACTTTTGGTTACTGCTGGAATGGGGGGGATGTTTCTGACCAGTACGCCTCTTCTTCTGTCATCTTCCAGTCCCCATATTTCCATCTGCTGCCTGCTCCTACCCATCTCTCTTTTCTTCTCCATCGGTCGTCCAAGGCCACTTGAATCCTGAGCTGGAGCATCATAAGATCCTTATGATCCAGCCCCTTCTCCCTCTTCATGGCTTTCTCTCTTCTTTTCTAGGAATCAGTGATTTGTCCTATTATCACCAGACCAACTCGGTGGGAAATCATCACACCTATGGGATGGTGCCTGGAGGCGAACACCCTTCTGATACAGATGGTGAGGTGGTTGAAGACAAACTGGACACATTGGGTTAATATCAGATAGAATCAGGCAGAGGATGGGGAGAGGGGAGGTGCAGGAGGAAAATTAAATCAATGTAGGCAACAGATCTGACAGAAGAGATACATCGGCAAAAAGTGCATAAGGTGACACATTGCAAGTAATAAAGTTATTTTTAACATGTTGCTTTTGGGATAGCAAACGAAGGATGATGTTCGTTTTGCAGATAATTGAGCAGCTGCTAACATAGTTACTTGGCTCTGCTAACATATAAGGTATACTTTTCTGCTTATTTGGGACAGGGCTCAACATACATTTCAACTTTTATAAAAAAATCTGTAAAGCATGTAAGTGACCTTCCCCTAGAAATAATTTAATTTGAATTGGGATTATAAAATATTATTTTAAAACTCTGTTATAATTCTTAATGAAAACCTCATTATACCCGAAAAACAAAAATGGTTAAAATGTCATTAGATTCCTTTTATATTTCAGTATCCAAAATTTGGTTTAAGTCTAGAGTTTAGAAGGCTCTGAGCTGTTCTATCAATCCTTTTATCCTGCAATTTTTTACATCTTATAGATGTATCCATTCATGGCGCATACAGCCACTCTAAGAGGAAAACAAACCCAGACATAGGACAATTATTTAAAAGCAGTGCAACTTGGAAAATGAGTACAAACATATGGGAAATATGGTTAAAACAGTGAATGTTAAAATGCCTCTTTAAAAAGTCTTGGAAAAGTTTCCTTACAAAAGGCTGTTTTATAAGGGCTGTGTCTGAGTTAAAGGGAAGTGAGTTCCTTAAACTTGGATCCAAACAGATCTAAGAAACAGATGGTCTACTACTTGATCAGGAAGTCACCTGGTTATCTTAGGAGATCAGGCTGGTTCATAGGAGGAAGTGCTAAGATGCCATGTCCTGATCCATGCCTTGGCTTCTCACACCAGAATCCTTTCCTCAGACCAGAGATGCTTTTGAAACTGTAACTCCCAAGTCCATCTACAAAGAAAGAGCCTGCTCAGCAGCCCTCAGCATGTGGAATGCCAGAGAGAGAGAGAGAGAGAGAGAGAGAGAGAGAATCTGCAGTGACTAAATGATGTTAATCTGTAGAGAGAGAGAGAGAGAGAGAATCTACAGTGGCTAAATGATGTTAATCTGTTCCGTCAAGATCGCTGTCTTGTGAAAACATCATTTAACGAAGCACGGTTCCCCATTGGAATGCATTGAAATCCATTTAATGCATTCCAATGGGGAAGAATCGTCGTCGTCCAGCAAAGATTGCCCATAGAGAAACCGTTTAGCGAAGCGCCGATCAGCTGTCAAAATCAACTTGTCTAGCGATTTCCTCATCCTGCGAGGCAATTGTCTAGCGAGGCACCACTGTACTTGATATCCCTCTTAGTAGCGCTTAGATATATACAGTACAGTACTAAGATCATCCTCTCTGGGTGTGCATATGGTCCTTGATCTGGTCTCACTATTTAGGGGGATATGGCAATATCTTAACATTGCAACTTTTGAAAACTTCTTGGTTTTGGTTCTGCTGCCTGTATATTGTTTTTATTGTCACATTTGTGATTGTGTAAATTTATAGAATTTTCTCCCACCCCTTCTTTTTTGTATACATAATCTTCCAAGAAGGCACTATGTGAACATTCTAAATAAATAAATAAATAACTCCCTGAATCCTCTGGCCATGAACAGCCAGTACAGTTGAACCTCATGTGGTATCACATGTAAGGAAAAAAATATTCCAAATTCAATCTATGCTGTCAAAAATGACCCGACCCCCCCGGTCCCCTCTGAAACCTTCAAGAGCTATTGCCAGCCTCTGTGGATTGCATGGATCTAGAAATCCCAGTGGTCTGACTCAGCCTAAGGCTGTGACTCTGTGGTCAAATACCAGGGGATTTGCTTTGCCTATTAAAAAAAGGTATGGATTCAAAGTATTTTTTTACTGGCTGTAATGATGCAAAGGCTGGTTTGAATTGGTCTAGCCTTTTTGTGCCTGAAGCGGCTTTTTTTTCTCCTGCTACTGGGGGGCTTCTATTTTTTCAAGATGGAATAATTCAAATAGTTTTTTTCCCCATGTGGTTAATCATAATATGTTGTAAAAATGGGAGAGGGGAACACGTCTGTCAGCGGTGTTTTGGTAACACAGATAATTGGAGGATAATGTTCAGAACTGCGGAAATAAGCCCCTGCACTTCTTTCCTTTTCCTCAATCCTCTGAATTTTAAAAAGTTTTTTTTAAATTTTTTTTTTAACTTATATGAGATTAGTGCTACATCACCCTATTTAGCCTTATCACTGAGTCACTGTTATTGTTATTTCCCATATTTACTCTCCTGTCAGTTCTCTGTTGGATCGGCAGAGGTGTTGCCAAAGGAAGGGAAGGGAAGGAAGGATAGTCGCACTCTTAGTCTAAGCTGTTTCCTCTCAGGTACTCGCTTTTCAACCCCTCGAAGCACTGCCAAGCTGACCAAGAAGCGAGCTCTGTCGATCTCCCCACTCTCAGACGCCAGCATCGACCTCCAGACGGTCATCCGCACCTCTCCCAATTCCCTAGTGGCCTACATCAACTCCCGCTGTGCCTCAAGTGGGGGCTCTTATGGACACCTCTCTATTGGTACCGTCAGGTAAGTGGTGAGCCTCCACTGACCCGGTGGCCTACAGACATCTTGGGCCATAAAGCCCATCATCCCCAGCCAATGTGGGCAACGGCTGAGTGTTGTGACGGCTGCACTTTAAAGGAATCCTAGCTGGGAAACACAGGATTGGTGAAAGGGATGCCTCCCACCACCACCACCCCTATTCTCAAGATAGTGATGGGAGACATACAAGTTTCTGTGCTGAGCCTTCTATGGGGCAGATGATACCCAGAAGCATCCTGACATCATTGGCTCTCCGTTCCTTGGTTACATGCGTGTTTCCTCCAGTCTGGGAGATACCATGTGCATTGAAGCTGACTTCAAGGCCTAAGCGCAGGCTGCCAGAATATTCTTGCATCTGGAGGCTGCATCTGGGAATCTGTCCTGCCTTGTCCTTTTTCAGGAAGGGGGAAGCTCCCTGATGTGGATTCCTGATCATAGAGATAGACATGGGGTGAGCATACTGCCACACTGTTACTTCTGGTCCAAGACTCTCCTACACACCAATTACCCTCCCAATTGAGAGGGGTGGAGGAGGGCAAAAACACCACTCTTCTCTGTTTGGAGATGATGGGTGGGGATGGTTTCTTTTCCCTGCAGGAGTGGAGCTTTGGAGAGGGAGGTTCCCCCAGGGCTGAGCTGGAGATTTTCCTTCCCTCCCTGTAAATAGCGTGTCAATAGTGGTGTGGCTCCCAAAGAGTAAACCTGGAGCTTCTGTCCTTTGAGACAGAGGAGCAGAAGATAAAAGCTTTGGCTGGAGTTTCAACAAGACAGTTGAATGCGCAGATACAAGTTTGATAAATCTTCCCTTATTGTTGGATCATTCCTTCTTCTTTTGTCTCCTGCAGTCCTTCCCTAGGGTTCCAGAGCTCAATGGGCCACCAGAAAGCTCAGGGGATGTCATTTGGCCACAGTGCACCCATAGCCCCATGTGGCTCTCACGAACACATGCCTGGCAGGCCAGGAATGATGCACCATATGCCACCTCCCCGTGGGATCCTGAAGCATTGCCAGGTACGTAGGCATCAAATCCACCCTCCCACCCTTCCTGATACGCCACTTCTAAAGGATGTGAGTAACCCTAAATACCATAACATGGCTAGAGGAAAAAACAGATCTCCCCCACCCCCCCCACCTACCCCCCGAGTTGAACTCAGGGCTGACTTAGCGCTCTATGCAGGTCCTTAAAGCGATTTGTCCTTTAGTTTGGGGGACAAAGATTGGTGTGGTGGGACTGCAGGAAGAAAGAGGGGGAAAGAGCCTTAGGGAGAGGGCAAAGCTGGAGTGAACACAACCACCTGGACCTCTTGCCTTCTTTTGGCTGCAGCTGAAGTCTGAGCCCAGCCTGGGTGGCCATCGGGATGCCCTGAGTGCCAAGTGCCTGGAGGAGTGCTCGGAGGGGGACATTTCCAGCCCAGCCTCTACAGGGACACAGGTAACACCAGGCCACAGCGACCTGCTCGTATATACACAGCAAGGGAACCCTCTCCACAAACCCCGTCTAGCCTCGTCTAGACTAGGAGTGGGTTGGCGGGAAAGAAAGAAAGAAAGAAAGAAAGAAAGAAAGAAAGAAAGAAAGAAAGAAAGAAAGAAAGAAAGAAAGAAAGAAAGAAAGAAAGAAAGAAAGAGAGGCTCACAACCAGGGCTGCAGAGAAAGATCAGGATGCTTTGGTCTTGTTATGAGCGTTGCAGTCTCACCGTTGCACTGCAGGGTCAATGCTATTGCCTCTTAAGTCGTTTCTTCCTGAGAGAAGATCTAGAGTTTAGAAAAATCACTTTGGGGGATGAAAGTTCCTAGTAAACATCACAGGGTTCCTGGGACACATTTGGGGAATTGTAACCCCCAGTTCTCTTCATGAGAAGAGAAGATTCCCTGGAAAAAAACCCTGATGTTGGGAAAGTGTGAAGGCAAGAGGAGACGGGGACGACGGAGGACTGAGATGGTTGGACAGTGTCTGCGAAGCAACCAACATGAAATTGACACAACTACGGGAGGCAGCGGAGGATAGGAGGGCCTGGCGTGCTCTGGTCCATGGGGTCATGAAGAGTCGGACACGACTAAACGACTAAACAACCACAAACCCCCAAAGCCACCTATTCTAAACTCTGAACAAAAAAACCCCACAGTCTACATGAGAATGAGACCACTACACTGTATACTGGCTTTCTCAGGAACTTGCTAGTTGTCTGTGTATAGACAGGGCCTGGTCTGTGAGAGATATTCAGATATGATATTCATGATTTTAAGTTATAACTTTCCTTTATCTCTGTATTCTTTTGCTTTAGTGTTGTGAATGCCCTATAAATTCAGTCTTTAATATATTGAATATCTTTCACTGTTCACAGACTATAATAATAATAAACTAAACTAAACCCTTGCAAGCTGGACTACATCTTACATATTAGGACCCCATGGCCACGACTAGTTCCAAACTTCCCATGGATACTTGAAACTGAATAATAGTGAATGAGAGTAATACACATGAAAATAGGGTTTTTGTTCTCTGGATTTTTTTTTCTTTTAGTATTTTTAATGTTTTCAGACCATGGATAACCAGTGGATACTGATCCTGTGGACAAAAGGGTTCTGTTGTACTTATTGTACAGAAAGCCATTTAGTTCTTCTACTTCTTAGGAATCCCCCCCCCCAAAAAAAAACAGGATAGCTGAAGAGATGCAGAGCACTCAGTTCTCTGTCAGGCGTCTCTTTTCATGTACTTCTGCGAGGCAGAGTTATACTCGTAAAGAAGGAAGAACTATTGGCTGGACTTTTTCATTTCTTTGCCTCTTGTCTGGTTCATCATTCCCAGCAGGAAGGCAAAAAAAGAACATGAGCTGTAAGGCAGTGTGATTCAAGTATCTCCAGCTTTTATTGTCTGCTCCAAAGGGTTCCAACAACCCTTTCAAGGTTCCAACAGTGAAGTCTTATGCATCTCTACTCCAGGGCAAGGCCCACTGAGTTCAGAGGTCCTTGCCACCAGGCAGGAGTGTAGTGGACCCACAGCTCACAAGGTCAAAGCCCCAGGATGGTCTGAGTTGCAGAGATCATGGCCCCTGCCCCCCAGACATCTTTGTTCCTTCTGAATTGTGGTGCAGTCCTGACAGTAACTGGGAGAGGAATGCACTGTCTGAGGAAGAGTGCATTGTTGCAAGACATCTTTATTGTAATGCAAATTATTGGAGAGTACTTTGATATTGAATTGACAATCAAGAGCCATTCACTTTATAGAACATCTGCTCTTTATTTGTTGATTTGGACCAATCTAGTTACTGTTTATGGGACTCTCCTTGGGGGGAGCCAGGCTATGGGGATCATCATGATGAACCCATGCACTTCTCAATTTACTGCTACATTACTGCCACTAGGTAAGTGGGTACAGACAGGCTACTTTCTGCCTACTGGTCAGAATCCTGTTGGTATCTGCCTAAGGTTTGTGTAATTTGGCTACGTAATTGCAGCTAAGTGGCAAGGCATCAAGGCGCATCTCGGTCACATGCCTGGTCACGTATCTGTGCCACTGAGATGTGCCCTGGCACCTCATCAATTATCTGCAGTTAGCCACAACAAGTGACACAGTCTTTATGTGAACGCCACTAGGGTTCTCACCAATGTATAAATTACATGTAGCTCAGCCATAAGAAGGCAAAATCTGTGATACTGGGAGACCTGCTGACGGAGATTCTTGAAAGTCCATGTTTTATAGTGTTAAATTGTGCTTCTGATATGAAGAGAAGAATGTACAAACTCTGGTCTTTTTCTCTGTTCTTTGGGCTTGGGAGGCCGTGTTGTTGGACTTCAGCTCCCATCATCATCACCTGTGCTGATTTGGGGGGGGGGTGAACAACGTCTGGAAGTCTAGGAGCTGCAACCAGTCCCACCCTCTGGACTTCAGAGGGCCCTGCCTAGTCCAGCATCCTCCAACCCAATACCTTTCTTTTAACTGAAAAAGTCCTCATTGTGGCTGTGAGGCGCCATTTGCCTGCTTCTCAGCTCTTCTAAGCATCTACAGATTTTGGAAAAAGGCCAAAATCAAGATGGTGGTCCACCATGACCACCATCCTCTTAAAACAGCTTTGAGGGGAAATATATGGTGAAATTGTCCTCTGTGTCCCCAGAGGAGAGAAAGGGGCCTTAAAAGGAGGGGGGCTGGGGATGTAAGGCTGCTGAGGAGACCTGGGGTGCTGCAGGTTAGCCGTTGGGCTCCTTGAGGGTCTGGACACAATCCCTAAGCCAAACTTTGTCCACCCTGAACTATCATGAGGATGATGGAGCTCAACAACGCCTGGAGGTCCATCCATCCACATCCCACCTGTAGTCTATCAAACTTACATTCCACAGAGAGGTATGAAACAGTGCCCTCCCTGCTTCTAGGGAATTGCAATGGATGATTGTCGGTTGGATTCGTCGGTCAGTTCTCTGCGAGAATCTTCTGAACACGCCTCGTGTCTTTGTCTCCATCCCAGGATCCCTTACTGGGCATGCTTGATCCCCGGGAAGAATTGGAGAAGGAAGATGGGAAGGTGGAGGCTGAGGCGGTGTATGAGACCAACTGCCACTGGGAGGGGTGCTCCAAAGAGTTTGACACCCAAGAACAGCTGGTGCATGTGAGTGACGGGCACCTCCCTGTGCCTGGGAGACTGGAGTTGACTGGAACATGAAATGTTGTTTTGTTTTAAACCCCTCCCCCGCACATGATAAGCTACACCAAATAGGTCCCTCAGAGATGCCTGCTTAACTTGTGTAATGAACAGGAAGACAGGGTACGAATCAGAACCATAAGCCACAAGGAACAGGTTGGTAGTTCCCCACTTTTAATAAAACATAAATAATACATTTTGCATTATTTTTTTTCACACACACAAGAAGGACCAAACAATCCTTTCCCGGATCTTCTGCAGAAAGCTGTGGACAGCAGTGTGAAGACTCAGACAGATCAAGCTTCCATATCCTGAATGCGCACTTTGAATTCCTTCAGATGTTGCTGGACTGCGCACCATATCGTCCTTTCTATTGGCTGTACTAGCTAAAATTGACAGGATTTGCAGTCCCACAAAATCTGGAGAAATAGAGAGATGTAAGCCTCCTTTGTTTTCTCATAGGATGAATCATCCAGAAGAAGGGCAGTCCTCTGATTCCTTACAAGATTTCATTCCAGTTGTAGCTTCAACCAAAGCATCCTATGCACTGTAGCGTGATGAGGACGCCAAAAATTTTCTTTTATCACCTTCACACAGCTACAGTTTCTTGCATGTTCTGGGATGAGGGGAGCAGACCAAACAGCAGGCTAAATGCCCATCTCTGGAGCAGACCAAACAGCAGGCTAAATGCCCGTCTCCTCACACCCTTACTTGATTTAAATGAAAGTGATCAGTTACAATTCTTGTTGTTGTTGTTGTTGTTGATTCATGCATTCTTTATTTGCTTATATTTGTTAGTCACCTACTAATGACTTCTTCTGAGCAATGTACATTTCACCTTCAGTTTCTAGTCCTGCTTTCAGTGGGCCAAGACAGACTGCTTCTCTCTCTTGCTCTCTCTCAATCTGCTGAACTAGGGAATCAATGCCCCCTAATGGCCACTCTCACTGACCTCTGCTTTCTGTGCTGCTTCCCTCCCCTGACATTGCAGCACATTAACAATGAACACATCCATGGGGAGAAGAAAGAGTTTGTGTGCCACTGGCAAGACTGCTCACGGGAGCAGCGACCCTTCAAAGCTCAGTACATGCTGGTGGTCCACATGAGACGCCACACGGGAGAAAAGCCCCACAAGTGCACAGTAAGTAATACTGGGAGTTGGCTGGTTTTGGGGGGCTCTCTGGGAGGATGTCTAAATGCAGCTTTGCTTGGCGCCGCATCCTGGAAGCTCTGACATAGAATTGGGCCTGATCCCATACTGGAAGGGGGTCACTTTGCTGGGAACAGGCTCCCTTGCAGGGACTGTGAGTGGGTTCTGGCTTGACTATGGAGGCGTGCACTCGTTCTTCTGACAGATGACGAAATCTGGGTTTAACGAACAGCTTTATTTGACAACAACAGGGTTTGCTCCACCACCTCCTCTAGAGGTTGTTCCTCTTCCAACAGTGTTTGGACTCAAAAAGAACAGTCTGATTTAACTTGCACCATAGGCCCTTGATTCAACAGGTCTCCCCACCCAAACTCTCCCAATGGGTAGGGATAGGCAGGGGTTGATGCCTGCTGGAACACAGACTTCCGCAGCAGGAGTGGTGTGCCCTATAACCTTCTCTTTCTTGCTTCCGAGAACTGCTGGGTCTAGCATGGGCTTCTGTCCCTTCAATCCTGTCCGTCCTCGGTTCTTTTCCCCCCTTTGGTTCCTGGCCTCTTTCTTCCTTCCTCCAATGTCTCCACTCTCTTTCCTCCCTCTCTCTCTCCAATAGGAAAGGTTCCCTGGGGACTTGGCTCTTCCTCCCCTTTTCTGCTTCTTCCTTTGAGAGGTGGAAAGCGACTGTCTCCTTGGTCCAGGGATCCTCTAATCCCACCACCTCCCAACCTTCTGGTAAATCAGACTGGGGATCACTGGCTTCCTCCTTGCTTGCTCTCTTCAACCCTTCCTCTTCTGCTTCTGTCACTTTTATTCTCTCCTTTCTTGCCATTATCCCTTGTCCTCTGCCTCCACTGAATACTTTCCTGGGCTTTTTCTAACTCTCAACTTTCTGCCCCGTTGGTCTTGGCTGTTCCGTATCTTTCCCACCTTTCCTGATCTCTTCTCCTAATGGAGATTTGTTCTTGGATTCCTCTTGGGCTTCAGGGCTTTCTGGTCTGGGAGGTGAATCCACGCTCAGTGTCAGGAGTCCTGTTTTGATGGGGGAGCCTGACATCTCATATCTTTCACCTCTGAGGAAGGAGAGGACAGCACCCTGGTGGGTTGACACCTGTCCTCACCACTGCCTTCCTTACACTGACCTGTACATCTGCGCAGGTGTCGCTCCAGAAAAGAACAGCCCTTATGCTGGACCCAATAGGTCCAACTTGGGCATGGGTCAGGATCGGGTTGGTTCGTGATCACCAAGAAGTAGTTCACGCTGGACCATGCCACAAGGGGTCCAGAACGTGAAATATTTCCCCCTCTGATCATAACCTTATTCTTAAAGCCATGCAGTAATTCCGTTCTCTGTGGACGGTGGCATCCCTGTGAGATACGGAGACCAGATGCAAAGAGGGATCAGGCTCTTGTAACATTTGAAGTTAAGTTATGCAGAAGCATGTGCTATGGCATGGCTCAGCTGTACAGAGGTGCAGCATTTCTTATAGCTGCCTTTGCCACAATGTCATCTTCTACACCGTGGTACAAGAATCCTGCCTTGCTTTGTACCTCATCGTTTGACTTGTATACATCAACAGTGAGTCAGAGTCATAATCACCGCCATATTGTACACCTGACTTTAGTTGGAGGTGGTGGGATGCATCGTGGGTATGAGGAGGTTGTGTGAGAGAGGGGGGAGGGGGGAGAGAGCGAGCTCCTCATTTAGGCTGACAGCAGAAGAATTTTGAAAACAATCCCATTTTTGCGAGATACATTGTTAATTCTGCTCCCACCCTGCCTTACAGTTTGAAGGCTGCAATAAAGCTTATTCACGGCTGGAGAACCTCAAGACCCATTTGCGCTCCCACACGGGAGAGAAACCGTATGTCTGTGAGCATGAGGGTTGCAATAAGGCCTTCTCCAACGCTTCGGACCGAGCCAAGCACCAAAACCGGACACATTCCAATGAGGTAAGGACAGCTGTCTGAGGTGAACACCGATTATGGCGCCTAAGTGAAGCCTTACTTCCCAACAGTGATTGCCTGGCTGGTCTGCACAGGACGGTATGAGCTGAGGGGCTTCATTACCTTCCATGTGGGCCAGTTTTTAGGACTCTCAAAGCATCCTTGAAAATGGCCCCACTGAAATTAAGCAGCAAATTGAACTGCTGGAAAAGAAGGGAATCCCCATTTTAAACATCTTGCTTGCTCTAAATAGCTTCTCTTAGTTTTGAAATCTGAAATTTCCATTTGCCAGATTTTAGCAGCAAGCTTCTTAGAAAGCATCTGCATCGAGTATTTGCTTACCTAAAACAGCTTTGGTGGGTTGGCTACATAGTTTAGTCAGCAAACTATGTTGCTGCATTTAAAGTTTTAAATGTTGTTTCCCTATTGCTGTGGAATTTCAGCAGTGTTGAGTGTGTGATCCATTTTGTGTGCACCCTGTGGTACATCTGGTGGGGATAGACAAAATTGGGTCCTGGATTAAGTCTTGTTACTCATCCCTGATCTAAAGGCAACCTTCCCCAAATGGGACAAGACGGCATTCTTTCCCATGAGGAGACACCCCAACCCCAGTTAATGACCCTTTGTGTGTGTGTGTTTTGTCAGAAACCCTATGTCTGCAAGATCCCAGGCTGCACCAAGCGCTATACAGATCCCAGTTCACTGCGCAAGCATGTCAAGACAGTACATGGGCCAGACGCTCATGTCACCAAGAAGCATCGAGGAGACACTGTGCCAGCTGGCCGGATGCTGGCCTTCCATGGTGACCTGAAACAAGAGAGAGATAGTGAGCCCAAGAAGGAGGAGAGCAAACTCATGGTGCCTGACTGCAATCTGGTAAGCAGCCCAGGGTGGCGAGAGAGGAGGGGAAGCAGTGGGCATGAACAGGAAATAAATCCCACCACAAAAGTTGTTTTAGGTGGACGGCTGAGGGAAAGGAAGAGAGCCATGGTCTCTGTATGAGGGAGATCCCATTCTTTGAGCTCACGGAACAACAGGAGGGCCATTCCTCACAGTACCTTTTCTTAGCCTGCGTCTTACAACAAAAACAGAGTAAACACATGTGGGAAAGTAATTTATGGCTCAGCCAGCAGCTTTCTGTGCTTGCTGCCCATTCCTTAACATACTGACACACATCTGGAAAGCAGGCCTGAAGGCAGGAGGGAGACATCAGGGCATTTCATGTTCTATAGCTGTGTTGTATGTGTTCCGACCCGTGATAAGGAAGGGAGCAAGTGGCCCCAAAGGAATTTCAAAAAGCCAGGGAGTCCTGAGTAATATTTCCAGTACCAGAAATTGTAAATTCAATCCCATGCACAGCAGTTTATTTCCTCTGCATGGCTAGCAGAAGCAGAACAAAGCGTACAGAAGCCCACATTTCTTAACACTGGATTTCATGTGGATTTTTAATTTTACAGTATTGTTGTTCTTGTTTAGCATAAAATGTACATAGTTCCAGGCTCTTGCCCCAACAGTGTACTTTCTCCTGATATACTTTTAACCTGATCCTCAAATAAAGGAGAAAATAGGATGGTTTCAAAGTATGGAATGGAGTTATAACCAGAATGGACCTGAAGGCAAAACTACATGCTGTGTTAAACTCATGGCTGCATTTAACGAGTCTACTGTCTGTCTGCTTGTTTGTTGAACAGCAGCCGCCAGCAGTTCAATCAAAATCAGGACTGTGTTGTTGAGTCCTCCCCTCATGCTACAATCCTAAATCAAAACTTCTTCAGTTTGCTCTTTGATGTTGGAAGAGAGCTGCTATTGCTTTCGTACTAGTTTGTCTTGTTCAGGCTCCCCACACCATTAAGGATCTATGGGACCTTACTTTGTTGTGGGTACTGAATGTTCGAAGTCTCTGATTTCCCCTCCCCCCTCTGCCAGAACTGCAGTCCCTGAGGAGTAAGGTAATTACTCTTGATGCAATGTATTTTTGAGCCTGTATCTTAGAATACGACCCATAATCCTAAGCAATACCATGGGACCTGCGGATGAGCTATCATAGAAAAGAGTCTTTGGTCTGCAGGATGGAGGCATCTCATATGAGATGGTTAAATCCCTATGCCACCCTGGCAAGGCAGGGTATTAAAAGGTCCAAATGAAAAGATATTGGATCTGGCCCTGGGCAAGATCTCCAGTGTTGTCTGACACTTCCTGGACATGGGGGGGGCATCAAACCTGTGCCCCCTCAGGAGGCTAGCCTAGGTGTGGTTTATTTAATTGACTCTGTTGTCCTAAAAAATAGGGAGATTTAGGGGTCATCTTAGATCTCAAGTAAATAAATGCTTTATGTGTGGGGAAATGTCATATGAAGATGCTCTGGACAATTCAGGTAGTGCAGTGTCCTGACCTCCATAAGCCCAACAGATGTTTACTTATGTCTTCTAATTTGGCCTGGTCACAGGCATTTCCTCATGTTTTGCTTATGGCAACAACCGCTCTGGATTCAATTCTGAGCCCTACCATTTGGTCCTGATTCAGCCCCCAGGATTTTTACCAAACTCCTGGTCTCTGTAATCGCTCACCCATCTTCGCTTCCAGGGCATCTGTGTTTCGCCTTATCTGGACGATCTCTTTCTGACTAGGCTCTCCAGACCATACTCCTACATCTAACCTGGAGTAGGTTCCTTGTTGATCAGAAGGAAAGTTTTCTGTGCTTCTCAGGACAGATTCTGCATCTGGCTGCACTCACAGACACAGAATGCGGCCCTTGGAAAGTCAAATGGTTTAGATGGCGGGCCTGATGTCAGTGGCCGCTCTTCTGGCAAGTTACACACTAATGCCTGCAAATTGTACCCTCGGCGTGTCTACATCCTTGTCCATTACAATTATTTCTTGCTTTTCAAACCCTGCTTTGTCAGAGCAGCAGAGGGGCTTCACCCACTCATATTGGATGCCTCCTTCTCCATTGACCAATTCATAGTAAGTACTTGTCACCTCATTCTCTGACTTGAAATTTTAAAAACCACTGCCTTAAATCATTGGTCCCTATTGATTAAAATTTGACCTAATCAGTTAAAAGCACCACCCCACGATTCATTAACAAATCTTTAGTTGATTTGTCAGGTTAGCTTAGCTAATTTCTGAACCCGACCAACCACCAGGAGTTCTACAAACTTTCATAGACCTCCCAGGGGAAAAAAAAATCAGAAGCCTGTGTTTGTCACAGCTGACATTTATCCCAGTAAAGGGTTAATTCCAGAATTTAACCAAAGAATCTCAGGCAATCATATCAGAACTCACCTGAGTATCAAAGCCTAAGTTTTTTCATTGTTGCAACATCAGCTTGTCTAATTTTGCAAGCTTTAACATTGCTTTTATGTTCCAAATGCACAAAATATTTCAGAATTGTTTTAAAATACAAAAATATGGGGGTATAAAGGAAACTGTAGACACAAATACTAACAAAAAAAATCCTTCCTTGCAACTTATGAAAAGTCACAGGTGTGATTTCCATCTAAATATTTTACAACTATGAGAAGTTGCAGGCATTCAAATACAAAATTTAAATTGTAAGTAGAAATTAAATCATGTAAAAACAAAGAAACATAGCCTAAAAGAGCTAAATATAAAAAGACAGTGCATTTCTTAAAATTATAAAGTTGTTAAAAAATCTATAAAAGCAAAATACGTTATTCAGTCTTTAGGATATTTTCACACATGCAGAAAAATGCTAAACAATATTTGCCACAAGCCAAGCCAGTTAAAATCTATTTATACCTGATATTCCTACTATCCTAGCAATGTCATGGCATCTTAAAACCTGTATACCATGGATTTACGTTTTCCAAAAGATGGCATGATAAGATTATAAAATACTCCTTTTTCATTCATTCACCTTATACTTACAATAAGCTTATTTCTAAGTTTACAAATTACAATCAAAACATTCATTCACTTGCCAAGATTGTTTATATTTCATCGCCCTTGCTCTACTGGAACTCAGCTAATCATTTTGCAGTGACCTGCAAAAATTATTTTTTTCAAGTTGCAAGTTTTAAAAATCCTTTTATTCCCTTTAGGGCAAATTTCCCTGCCACCCTGTTTATTTTTCTAACTCTCTTAAAAACACAAGGTTTAAAATCTTGACAGATTTGCCTACTAATTGGAGCTAGCAGATCTACTTTTATTTTTAAATAAAAATATGTTCAGACTTGGTGAACTTTTAAAAAAAAGTTAAACTCCCAATTTACCATGCTGGGAGGTGCAACCAAAAAATCAATCATTTCTCATACCTAAAAAACGGCTTTCTATTTTCGCACATCGTGGGCTTCTTTCCCAAGGGCCCACCTCCAGAAGCCATTTCAGGTCATTAGCGTGGAAGACCCTTCTTGGGTTGCCATTGTTCAGTGATGTGATGGGTCTGTGCTTCCTCCACCCCACAGAAACCGCAGCCCAGCCCTGGGGGTCAGTCGTCCTGCAGCAGCGAACGCTCCCCCTTGGGCAGCGCGAATAACAATGACAGCGGCGTGGAGATGAACGCCAACGCAGGCGGCAGTTTGGAGGACTTGTCGGCCCTGGAGGAAACCCTGGAGCCCATGGGCCACTCCGGGCTCTCGGCCCTGCACAAGCTGGAGAACCTGCGCATCGACAAGCTCAAGCAGCTGCGCAAGCCCTTGTCGGGGAAAGGTGTGAAGCTGCCTTCCATCCCTGGAACAGGTGGGTGGGGAACAGGCCTGGCGAAGGCTCGGGAGGGAGGGAGGATGCCCAAGTGGGAGCTTTTGTGAGCAGAAAGCAGAAAGATTAACGAGGCTTGTTGCCAGGACCCCAAAATGCCTTCCGACAGTGGCAGCCAGAACTGCTTTATTATGTGACTGGGAATAACAACAAAACATCTCCAAGATGCCCAGTTGGGCCTGCAGCCCCTCCACCTTTCTTTCTTTAGCCACACCCACTGACCCCCACCATTCCCCCCCCAAAGTCAATTTTTGGCTCTGACCTTTCCTCTGAGATTATCAAGAGGCTATAGTCCTTGGGAAGAGGACCCCTTTCCTCATTCTGACATGCAGCAGGGAAGGCTCTCCAGAGGTTATCCAATTGAAACTCCCATAATCCTTGACCGTCGGCTGTGCCGGCATCGTATGGTGGTAGTTGTGGTTCAAGGGTTTCCGAAGGGCTACTTATGGCCCACCATAATGGCCCTCCTTTGGCCCAGTAAGCAGACTACGGCCGGAGGGCTCACATCAGGCGAGTGCCTAGATCAGGCCTAGTGGCTTGTTTTCCCCCTCTTGTTTGAGTCGGTGCCTCTGCTTCTTTGCAGGCTCTGGAAGAGATGTGCCGGGCCTGTGTGGGCCACCCTCGGCGGCCTCGCATCGGCGGATAATGGAGCTCTCCTCCAGCGATTTGCCCTCCTTGCCCCCGCCGGGGGAACGTCGTGGGAGTGCCACCAGCACTATCAGCTCGGCCTACACGGTCAGCCGCCGCTCCTCCATGGTGTCTCCCTACCTGCCAGCAGGGGGAGCCCCTAATGGTTTGGGCCCGCCTGACGCCTACGACGCCCTCTCCCCTGAGGCCTCGAGGCGCTCCAGTGAGGCCAGCCACTGCGGGGGTCTCCCAGGGCTGGGCAACTTAACCCCTGCCCAACAGTATCGCCTCAAAGCCAAGTATGCTGCCGCCACGGGCGGGCCACCTCCGACCCCGCTCCCAAATATGGAGAGGGCGGCTCCGTCCAGCCTCATGGGGGATTATGCAGGTGCGGGCCTGCCTCCGTACATGCGTAGGCACAGTGCCAATGAGTACCACAGCTACAGCACAGGCGTCCGCCACCCTCACGCGGCGATGAGCCACACTTCCCGACGAGCCAGCGACCCCTCCCAGACAGTGGGCGAAGCCCATCCTCCTCCCAGAGTGCAGAGGTTCAAAAGCCTTGGCAGCATGAGCGCAGCAGCGGGCATGGGCAGAGCCAATGGGCAAGCCATGTTGGGCTCCGATGCCAACCTGCAGCGCCAGCTCTTCTCACCACGGCCCCCAAGCATCAGTGAGAACGTCTTCCTGGAGACAGCGGCGATGGAGAGCAGCGGGCCGGCTGCAGAGCAGGAACTGCTGGAGATGGAATCTTATCTTGGCTACCAGGAGCAAAACTACCCGTGTCAAACGATGGGCATGGAACACCAGAGCCCTATGGCTCAACGGGGCGCACTCAGGTCAATGGGTGACTTGCAGATGAGCCCAGGGAGTCATGAGCAGCTTGAAGACGGCTTTGAGCAGCCTGAATACATCCAGACCCAATGCCAGATGAGCATGGCTTTCCACACCACGCGGCAGTGGGAGAGAGACAGCTTGGGAATGAATCCCACACCGACCACAGGCATGGGGCAGTGCCCTTCTGCCCAGTTCCCAGCCCCCAACACGAAGCACATAGAAGTGGAGCCCAGCAGGGAAGGCCAGCAGGGGGCGTTCCAGTTTGGCCAGCCCCACATCAAAGCCGAGCACCAGTTCCAAGCAGCCGCTCCAGCCCTTGCCTCCTGCCAAGGCATGAAGCAGCTACCCTACATCCAGGCCCAACCTGTCTGTGGAGGAGGAGGAGGAGGTGGAAGTGGTGGGGAATACCCACCCGAGACCCAGCAGGGCCCTTGCTTTGGCATGGGGCAGCCCCCTGGCCGGAGATCCCAGACCCCCATGCTGCAAGTCAAGGAGATGATGGTACGGAGCTATGTGGAGTCCCAGCAAGCCCTTATGTGGGGGGAGCAGCCCGTCGGCAACGTGACGGTGGGCATGGATGGCATGGAGGGTGGGCAGTGCCAGCCACTGCCGCCGCCCCAGCCTTACCCCGCCCCCAAGTACCCGGCCTACCCAGCGAGACCCTTGCAACCCATGGAGAGCAAAGCACTTTCGAGCCCCGGTGGCCAGTGTTACAACCCAGGGATGGTCCCACATCCGCCTGGTGGGCCTAAGCCACTGAGTCGGCAAAGCAGCTTGAGCTACCAAACCAGCCCCTCTTACGAGCCCCCTAGTGATAGTGGCCCCCACCGGATGATGCGCTTGCCCCCTCTCCACAGCTCAGAGGAAGCCAGTTTTCCTAGCCCGATGCATCTGCCACCAGGCAAAGTCACAGGGTCCAAGTTGATGAACGCCCACCAGAGGCACCACCAGGCCCCCAGCTGTGTGGCCGAGGACCCAGGAGGCCCCTATGTCCCCAGGCTGGAGGTCCTCAAGTCAGACTCCTTCTCTTACCTGCCCGAGGAGCAAGTGTCCAACAGCTTGGACACACTGGACTTGGAGAACACCCACTTGGACTTCACGGCCATTCTTGACGACGCCGAGGCCCTCAGCCCCAGCTCTCCGCCCGCCGGTGGCCAAGCCAACATGGCTGTGGGAGATATGAACTCCATGCTGAACTCGCTAGCAGGAGAGAACCAGTTCCTTAATACCCTTTCCTAATACCATTAGCCGGAGGGCCACAATGGCAGAGGTTTGCTATGTGCCAGGACCAAGGCTGGCCAGGAGAAGAGGCACAAGTACCTCTCACTGGGCAGAATTCCAACCTGTAAGGTTTGAGAGGGTTCTTTGAAGGGGGCAGAATCTAGCTAGAAGTTTCCAGTGTTCCTCTGGGTGCCACTCTGCATCTGCCAGGAATCTTTAGCCCTGTTGTTGGAGAACATGTTGATGATGGTTCATGGTGAACGATGGGTGCCCGTGAGGAAAGAGAAGGGCACTCACTCTGCTGTCCCAAAAGGTGGAGCAAAACACGGCACTCTTAACTTCATCTCCCCACCCCCACCTGCCTTCCTAATATTCTGGAATGATGAGCATTCCATAGCTTAAGTGCCTCTTCCTCACACTCTTCTGGACAATAAGAGGGCAAGATCCTAGCTGGTATAGTATCCCATTGGGATGTTATAGGGAATCATGTAAGTTTTTCCTCACTTTGATCATCCTCTGCCACATGACCAATCATGTGACCAGTTGTGCACCCACTCTAGCAACAGGGCGTGAGGTGGGGAGCTTGCCCGAGCGCAATGAACACTGGCATAATCACCTTTCCACCACCATGTAACATGAACAGGACGCTGACCGTTGTCTGTGCACCTCCTGCACTAGGGAGTGGGTTGTCTCTGTAGGGCTCACCCAGTGCTAGCTCCCTTTTCTCCATAGCGGAATGCTTGTGAAAGCTGGGGAGGGGGTGGTGGTGGTTGGCAAATCACAGACTTTACACCTGGATGCTGCAGGGAAGATCTGTGGGTTTTGAGGATGCCCGTTGCCGATAGATCTTTCCTACAAAATACGCAGGGGAGAACACAGCTCCGTGAGGGGTGAGATAGTATATGGCAATCGGTTCTGGCTCCACAGAGATTCCAGAAGATGGTAGGGTGCAAAGCATCCGGTAATAGTAGTAAGTCCTTGCACATAGTAGATACACTTCAGGCTCTTTTGGGCCACTGGCGTCCTGCCCTTCAAGGCTCAGTTGGCACAATGTAAACCCACACGCTTGAGCTCCACCTCAATATGGGTTTTCACTATGGGTTTCCATTAGCTTCCAGTACTGCAAAGCCTGCAATACGGAAAAGAGGATTTGTGGGAATATGCACGTGGTCTAACATAAGAACCCCTGCCCCGGCAATTTTTACCTGCCTAACGTTCAAAACATACCTCACCACCACCCTTTGCTGTCAAGTCTGGCCCAACACGTTTTGCTACAAGTGAAGAGTCCCCTACCTCAGCTACCTTTCCACATAAAGAAGCAAACCAGGCAGGCAGTTAAATCTAACTTCAATGCTGGTGAAGGGACAGTGGCAGTCCAAAAATATCTCAAGGGCTGCACCTGCACCTTCTGATTTAAAGGTAGACCTTTCCAGATTGCAGCCTTGGGGGTTCTCCGGGAGAGCAAAGAGATTCCCTCCTCAGCCCTGGTGAGTGGACTGCCAAAACCAGGCCATGAAAGCCAAGAAAGGTGAGATGGGTGGAGATGGCTCCTGACACCGCAAAAGCACTTTGGCTGGAGAAGTGGTGTCCACCAGCTAACCAGCAAGAGCTTATTCTTCATGGGTTGTGGGTAGACAACCTTAAATCTGTAGCACTTTATTTTTACATTGGATCCTGATTTAGATGCAAGCAGCTGAGCTAGCTGAAGTTGTCCTTCATCAGATTAATATGTAGCCCATTCTTGTTTACCCCGATTGGCAGTGGCTGTTCAGGGACTCTTTCAGAGCCCCATCCCAAGCTGTGTGATATCCTGCTAATTGAAGAATTAAATGAGGTATTGGGTGGTTAGTTACAGTTCTCTCAAACCTAGTGGTTGAGGCAAATTTTAGGGTTAGTCTTACAGCTGTTGTGGGAGATAATTGCCTACTGCAGTGTTTCCCAACGTTGATCTTCTGCATGGTTGTGTAATCACCAGGAAGTAGCTCACACCAAACTATGCCACAAGGGGTCCAAAATGCAAACTATTTCCCCATCTGATCACATTCTTAGAGCAATGCAGCATTCCCATCCTCTATGGATTGTGGCATCCCTATGGTATACAGCAGTGGTTCCCATTCTTGGATAGCCCAGGTGTTCTTGGACTGCAACTCCCAGAAATTCCAGCCAGCACAGCTGGTGGTGAAGGCTTCTGGGAACTGCAGTCCAAGAACATCTGATTCCCCTGAGGTTGGAAAACCACTGGCTTATGGGGGAAACACTAGGTACTGGAAGTGTTTCAGAAACCTGAGGAAATCAAAAAGTAAGGGTAGGTGATACCTTTATTAGACCACTAAAAAAAGTCACCAACAAACACTAGCTAGTCTTAATCCAGACTAGGCACTACATTGCTGGGGATGGTGTAGAAAAAATTTAAAATGTTCCAAAAAATCATGACCAGGTTAAGAGAAAAGAGAGACAATAATCAAAAAAGTGAGTGTATGCCTGGGTCAGTTTTGTTTCCGTCAAACCACTTCAGCACTCCTAAATGGGACTCTCTGCCTCTGACTTCACATTTCTGGGCCTTTGTCTTTTTCTGAAAAATGACAAAGGGATTCCCTGCTTTGAAGTACAAAAATCTCCCACAGTAATACAACACATCAGTCCTCTAGTTCAGTATTTTGGTCACAGTGAGCAGCAGCAGCTGTCCAAGGTTTCAAACAAGATTTTTCATCCAGATCCGTGGGATGCTGGAAATTGAACCTGGGGCCTGACAAAGCCACAATAGATGATCTACAAGAGGGCTGTGAGATCTGCCACTGAGCGAGGTAGCACTTTCTCCCCCACCTTATCTCCTTCAGGTCCTTATTCCCAATGCCCTGCCATCTCTTAAGCAACTCAAGTTAAACCTAAGAAACCAAAGAATTTACCTTTTATCCCATTCTCGCTTATGTTGTGTAACTTTCTTTTATATTTTAGCCTGGAAGCCAAACCAAGTCCTTTCTCTTTCTAATGATATTCATCATGAGAAGGGGAAAGAAAGTATTCAAGCAAAGTAAAAAAAATGGGTTTTTCCCCCTAGCCTTATCATGATGACATGTATTTTGATGGTTTGTATATAGTATATATGTGTGCGAGTATTTTTTACCTGTAAATCTTTCTCTGTCTTTTTTTTAGAGAAAACACATCAATAAAATAATTAAAAATATTTCCTTAAAAGAGCAAAAAGAATAGAACTATTCCTTTAATAGCTAGCACAAGAGACTTATACTGTACTGTTAAGAGTGTCCATTTAGAGAGCATCTAGTCCACGGCTGGGGATTCTTTGGCCTAACAGGTGTTTTCCACTTCATCCATCGGAAAGACCAGCAAACATGACTAGACGTGAAGAAGCCTTAGGAGGTGTTGCCATCCAAACCTGGAAAGCCAAGGGTCCTCCAGCCCAACCTAGTCTATTTATTCAGCAGAGAAAATCCTTGACCCCAAATATTTCACTCCCATGTAATGAAAGATTAGCTGATCTACAGCCTTCATTCTGTTTTAATGGAAACAGGGAATCCCAAACGGGGGGGGCGAGAAAGGAAAAAGCCAAACAGGGCGGTAGAGGAAAATCACCTGTCAATTTTCAGTTATCCAAAGCTACAACTGCTCCAGTTTCCTTCGTTTTAATGTCATGTAAACTGTTCTGTGGCTAACAGAGTTTCAATGCTTTGGGGGCAGGGGGGACTGGGAAGCACAGGAGGATTTAGCGCAAAGAAGGGAGAAAGGAGACAGGAGACCAAATCGTACTAATCTGGATCAGGCTGATCTCCTGACCGTTGGGGTGCAAGCTTTATTTTTTTCCTGACAGATCACCCACAACAGTAATAGATATATATATATGGATGGCAGAAACTCCATACATGATATTTTTGCACATGGAAGAGAGCATCATCTGTTAAATGCTTGGGTAGCTGTTAAAAGCGCAAAAGCCCTTCCAGAAGGGAAAACCAGCACCTATCCAAAAAAAAAAAAAAAAAAAAAAGCCCACTAAAAATCAAAGGGTATCACATAATTATCCTATCTTTTCTTCCTTAACCCCTTTTTTCTGGTAAGAGACAAGACAGAAGAAACAGAGAAGATTAACAGGTGGCAAATGGTATTGTCTACACACCCACCACCATGATAAACATGTTGAACAACGCAGGGAGATTTTGCAATAAAAGCTGTGACTGAAAGCACCTTCAGTGTATATGGGTCTGAAGCAAAGGTTCCAGAGAGCATTACCTGAAGCAGGGGAAGGCATCATCAGTGGGGCTGGGGGGCATGCGCTCTCCCCCCACAACCTTACATGGGACAATCAGGCAGCCTCCTGAAACCAGAAGTGCACTTCCAGTTTCAAATTTTATTGATTTATTTTCTCTAAAGGCACCAAGGGACTGCATGCCTTTAAAGAGGAATCCACTTCTTTGAGGCACTTCTGGAAGCAAAAGTCTCCTATTGAAGGAGTAAGAGATGAGGTTAGCTCTGACCCTGGGCCCCTCTGGAGTGCAAAATGGATGGGGAGGCCATGAAATGGCTAGGGACCGTCCATTCCTGTCCTCGAGGAGGTCTGCTTTACGGCATCTGTTCAAGGCCACAATGATGGAACAAGTGCTGCAGCACAGAAGGGTGTGGAGACGTGGGGGCAGGGAGAGCAAGCACTTCTGTAGCAAGAGGCTAAGGAAAAGAAGTTAATGGTCAGCTTGAAAGAATGCAGGACTGCAATGATGGCTAATGGCTGGAGTTTAAAAAGAAGAGGATTAATGGGCAGCCACTTGTTCCCCACAATTTTCTCCTTCCTTGAGTCCACACCCAAGTAATGATAGCAAACCCCATTCATGTACACAGTTGGATGCTGGCAATCCTATCCTCTTTCTTCATTTTGCCTCTGCCACACTCAAGAAGGTACAAGCCGACCTTGTTGCACTTACACATACGGCAGAGCTTCAAACAAGCCTGCATTAAGGTGGACCAACATTGAGATCTAATGGTGTACTAAAAGGTCCTGGAGGATGATCCAGCAGAGGCCCAATCCACCTCTCAAAAGCATAGCCCAGACTATGCTGGTCCCATCGTACCCGTGCAGTGTGTGGTGCACAGAACGACACAGAGTCAACCCCTGCACCTGGTCCAGATGACCTGCGGTCCCAATGTATCTTCAGGTCAGAACCACGAGTATCCGAGAAAGGAGCCAACAGAGTCATTCGGTGGTTGGGGCTGTAAAGATGCTAGAAAATTCGGTGAGGAGGAGTTCCACCACTTGGTTCTGGTACACCATGCCCTCCACCAGGCTGGCTGCATCTCGCTCGTGTCGCAACAAGGTTGGTCCAAAGACAATGCCAATGTTCTGTGTTGTCATTCGGTTGGTGTCCGAGTGTGCCATCACCCTGAAGGATGAGCAAGGTAGGGGTGAGGAGAGCCACAACAGGACATGGGCCGTCACTTAACACATCCGTTGCTAAAGCACTTTTGTATGTGTGTGCGCGCGTGTGTGTGTGTAAAAAGAGGCATCAAGTTGCATCCAACTGACACTGATGCTAAAATGTCAGATATTTAAGGAGTGGTTTTGACTTTACCAATGACAAAGGAAAGATTCAGATCTCCTGAGCCCTAGTGTGCCACTATGCCACCATGCCTCTCTCGCTTTTCGGACTGTATTTCCCATAATCACTTAGCACCATGGCCATAGCAAATAGTTGCTTAAAGCAATAATCACCTAGGAATCTCCAGTTGCTATAGTAAATGGTGACTAGGTTTGATTTCTAGAATGAGAATAAAGCATAACATCGCATCTACTGGTATGTAGTCTCCTTCCAAGGGTCCATATGCATGTGGCCCTTTTGTAGTCACCTAGCTGTATGGTAGCAATGGCAGTTTACAGATGCTTTCTGGGGTTTTTTTATCTTTACCCATTGTACTAAGCAATTTTAACAGATCTGAATGGGCCGGTATAAGCAGAATTTAGAGGTACTGAGTTGTAGCCCCCACCCACAAAAAACAACATTGCTTCCATATGAATAAACAAATGTCCTATTCCAGCAACAGATAACAGAGCGAGAAGGCAGGTAGAACTGGGCAGGAGCCCAGTTCCCTTACTTGCGAAGATGCTCCAGTAAGTAATGCAGGGTGTCCCGGTTTGGCTGAGGAAGACTCTGTATCAGGCCTGTCAACTTGGAGACTTTATCCTTCGGGTCAGACAACTCTGCAAGGAAAAGCAACAAGCCATTCTTCAATTGTGTGTGTGTGGGGGGGGGCACATGTTTACCTTCCACCAGGAGCCACAGGAGAATGGAAAGTGGCTTAAGCTTCCTGCTCCATCTCCAGAGGAATTAGCAGTCTCTGAAGTCCAGTGCTCATGTTCTAGAAGAAGCAGAAATTGTAATACAACTGCAGAATGCAATGGTGTCTGGGGTGATACAGCTTTTGCTACAGTAACCTTCCAACTCCAGGATTCAGAGGGTAAAATAGATGCTATAGAAACCCTCCCTGTCCTTAGAAGAAGAAAATCCTTAAATGTGAGATTCCTCTGAAGTCTGGTGTCTCAAAAACAGAAAATAACCCTGAATCACCTCTTCAAAACAAGCGGCCTCTAATGATGGGCTATCTATAATGTCTGTTTCTGCAATTAATTTGTTAAAAATCCAAGAGGCTGCAGAGAGCAGGAAGGTTTGACTGGAAGTAACTACGGTGACATAGTCATGAACCTATAAATAATGATTCTGCTTTGGAATCTCCAGAATGGGGAAACAGCATCTCAAAAACTGCTGGGGAGTTAAAGGGAGTCAGCTGTTTTCCCACAGCAGATAACCAAAGGCTCGTTAATTCTTTTGGTACTGTACATTTTCTAGAGAGAGGCCTGAGTACTGTGTAAAGGTGGTGAACCTATAAACCAGAATAAATTAGGTCCCATGTTGCTCGGGGGCAAAGATTAGGAGAGGAACTTACTGACTGCAGCTACGAAGTCATCAAAAAGGCTGTACGGCAGGAGTGGTTCAGGTAGTTCCCGGAAGAAAAGCTTGAGGGCGCCGGTGAGCACATGCACATCATCCCACTGGGGGTCGTCCAAGTGCAGCTTGTCCTCTAGGAAGTGAGAAACAGACCAGAGATTGGAGCGGGTTGAGAACGGAGGTCAGAGAAGGGTCACAGCAACACCCGGAAAAGCTCAAAAGATTAAACCACATTGAGCTCAACATGCTCTTTGACAGAAGATACATTAATTAGGTGACATTTAGTTTCAGGTGGGACTAGGAATATCAAATTGCAGAGAGTGGCGCTCCTGTTCACACTATTTAGAAGCCTGTTTTGGATTCCATCCAGCTCTGCCCCCCCCACCCCCAAAAATGACCCCTAATGCCTTGTGCTCGGTGTTCATGCTTACTCCTTTTTTGGTTGTCTGGCAAGTTCCTTTATGTTTTTCTGTCTACGGCTGTGTATATGACCACTACACTACAAGAGTACATCAAATGGATTGCACCTATTTTTAATTTCCCCAGTATACAAACAGCATATGAAAGGAGTGGCACATATAGTCGTCTGCTACCCAAGATATTGTTAATAAACAGATAAATAAATAATATACAGTACCTTAGGCTGACAGGCGGGCAGACAGATAGCATGCCTTGAATGTTATCCCATACACTATCATTCATTTATTTTTTTTACATTAGAATAATTATAGGAGTGTCTCATACACATTCTTTTACTAAGAAAAGGGACTGATAACTCAGTGGTTAAGGCTGCAGAGCCAGGGTTTGGGAGTTCAATTTCCCACGATGCCTCTTTCACAGGGGTTGCATTTGGTGACCCACAGGGTACCTTCCAGCTTTGCAGTTCTAAGAAGATGATGTGGAGTTAGTTCATTTACAGCCCAGGTGCCCCTCTGGGTTTGTTCTGTGCCTCTAAAACTATGGGTGAGTGCCAACACAATCTCTGTGATTTCCCTTCTCTTCCCTTCCCTTCCCATCTGCACCTCTGACAAGATGGAAAAGGGAGAGGAGGCTTGAGCCAACATCTCCCACTTCACCATCCGAGTGAACCTCCAAGTTGTGACCTGGTAACTCTCCCTGATCCTGTGAGAGGTGCTGTTGTTACACAGATACCAAAAGCACACACAAGATACACAGTGGCTAGATAACAATGACAAAACAAAACAAAACAAAATTAAGGACATGGTTCCTGCACCTTTTATTTCAAAATTAGTCAGAATTTTTGTTTCTGTTCCTTTATTCTAAGAATTCACAACAAATCACAAATTTCTTACTCAGGATGAAAGGAACGTTAGAGTTCAAAAATGTGAATGCAGCCAAAACTGAAGCTTTCAGATTCTCCCACCCGGAGAGAGGGCTTTGAACAATCAGCTCTTAAAAATTCGGCTTTCACTCTTTGTGTATTTGGCCATGTTGGCCATCTTGAATTAGAGTTGCCACCTTTTTTATTCTGGTAGATCTTTGTTGGCTAGCTGGATAGCTCAGTGGAATTCGATTCCCCATGGGGCATTCCCAGGAGAAAAGCCAGCCTGGGTGGCCTTGGGCGAGCTGCACAGTCCCAGGATAACCCCCAAAAGAAGGGAAGGGTAAACAACTTATGAGTACTCTCCACTTGGGAAACCTGGCTTTCAAATGTGCTCCTTTGCTGGTGGTGAACCACCTCTGGCCCCAAAAGAGCCTCTAACCACAAAATAGCATGGTGGTACAGAAAGTGGATCTAAATACCCCTTCTTTGCCCTACATTGACCCCAAAAGGTCCAAGATGTACATCAAAGATGTGGAACGTGTGGCCCTCTTAGACACTGCTGGACTGCAAATCCCATCATCTTTCATGGATAAAGCTGTCGGCATGTTGGGATGTGCAGTCCAACAACCTCTGGAGAGCCACATGATACCCATTCGTAAACGATGCCAGTGTGGAGGTCTACCTTCTGTTCCATAGGTGTTAATGAGAAAGGAGGGGGTCGTTAGCATAAAGAACAACAAAAAAAGATGAGACACATCAACTGCCTAAAAATGAAGAGTGGTTTGTTTTGTTCCGTTTTGTTTTGTGTTGGGTTGTGCATGACTAAAGTAACTACAAATCTCATGACTCTACAGAGAAGCAGACACGTCCAGCATTACCTTGGCAGCGTTGCTCTGGGAAGACATAGCGTCCATCAGATGTCACTGCCCGCTCTGGAAGAGAACATCACAGTTAATGAAGACACCCGGAAAAGCACTGGGCATGATTTTAAAGCAGGGGCAGCAACATAGGGCCCAAAGGTTGCAGGCAGCCCCCAGCCACTTTTCATGCATCAGCACCAATATTCTCTCTGTGTGCATGTGTGCGAAACAATGACAGCTGCACTCCTGGAAGCCCCCAGGAGGCAGAGGTCTTCTATTAAGCAAGAGAAGTAGCTCTGCCACAGTGGGAAAGCATGGTTTGGTTTTTTTCTTTTTCCTGTCTTATACCAATTGGAACTTCTATGTGCATCTGGTTTAAAAAAACTTCCAGACACCCAAAACACATTTCAGGTAGTGGTTGACAGTCATCCTGAGATGGCTGAAATGAACCTGCTGAGGTGGCTCACTCTTGTTTTCAAAGGTGAGGACACATGTAGTGACAGTGGGAAGAGCGGGTCCCTTCACAGGGGTCCTTCTGGCTCCAGAACTGCCCTTGCATATCTAGACACCAGCAAACTGGATGCTGATTCAGTCTTGTTTCCTGTGTGTATTAAAGCAGTATAGGTTTTTATTTGTCCTCTTGCATCTTTCAAAAAAATGCAAATTAAAAAAATTGCAAAACTCTTATGGTAATTGGTTGGAGGCAATGAGAATCAGCAATGTAATGGATGCTAGCCAATGTGTGGCTTTTATTTCTGTATCTAGACACCAGCAAACTGGATGCTGATTCAGTCTTGTTTCCTGTGTGTATTAAAGCAGTATAGGTTTTTATTTGTCCTCTTGCATCTTTCAAAAAAATGCAAATTAAAAAAATTGCAAAACTCTTATGGTAATTGGTTGGAGGCAATGAGAATCAGCAATGTAATGGATGCTAGCCAATGTGTGGCTTTTATTTCTGTTCTTCCTTCCAACTCAGGACCACTCTAGGCGGCTAAATGGGTGGCTTTTATTTCTGTTCTTCTTCCTTTCAAGTAGAATCATGCTGAACAAAAGGGCAGATCCCTTTTTACAGAATTTGCCCCTGAATAGAGGAAGTACACACCAAATGCCGTGACAGACCTTTCAAATGGTCCCACTGTCTTTCAACTGATGCACACCATGGTGGATGAGATAAGATGACTTTGAGGCTTTGTATCTTCCTCCTTCTGCAATCCCACACCCTGATAAGTACTCACCGCGGTCAACTATGAATCTCAGCTTCTGAATGATGGCCAAGTTCCCACTGACTCTGTAGATCCCATCTACGTCCAGACCTGAAAGAGAAAAGAGAGAGCCCCAGTGAATCCCTCTAAACTGGAGTGGGCAATACTTGGCCTATAAGTGGCATTTTTGCAAACGCAAAAACTCTGCTGCTGAACAATCTACTTCTGACTTCTAGGGGACACTAAGAGTCCTGAGACCCCTCATTTTTTAAAAAAAATGTTTTAGGGCAGTATAGACCATTAGAGGCTTTTTCAGTTTAAAATATTTGGACTCTTTTTAAATCCATCTTCCAGTTAATAAAATTCTAATAAAGCATTACAGTATGTAACTCCCACATTCAAGGGTGGGGGGAGAACATGAAGATTAGCATATATGACTGCGCCATACCCCCTTTAGCCATGTCCCAGTGGGTATGCAGCCCTTACATCAAATCTGAAAAATTTCCTTTGCTGCCTCCCTCTCCTCTCCTCTCCTCCCCTCCCCCTCAGGCCACCTAGGTTACTTTAAACCTGCGAGATTGACACAATACACACAGAAGTACACAACCAGCTCAGATTATGCTTGAGAAAGGAGGAGATAGGAACCTATCTCGAGACACCTACCTCTCTGTTCCACAGCTTCCACACACTGCTGAACAAAGCGGGGCACTGTGCCCCCTTCCCGCTGGCACAGGGCTTCCAGCCGGCAGCCAAAGACCTGGTCTGTCAATAAAGAAGAGGAATGACTCAACAGGGTGGGATGGCCTGATTCTGCTGAGAACACAGCATCCCACTCAAACAGAAGGGCAGCGCTATTCATACACAGGCCTAACAAGGGCACACACCTGAGAGTCAGTTAAAATGCAGCCCTACGCTGCAGCCTGACTGCCAGGGAGGAGGAAAAGATCAACTGGGTACTCATTTCTATACAGAAATATCAGTTTCAGCCCTTATGGACCATCAATGAAACAGAATGCAAGTTGCCTTGGGAATCTGCAAGTTGAGAGGTGTTTGTGGAGAAAAAAGCATGCACAAAACCACACGCACACGCACGCACACAAACACACACTTATACAATATGTTTATGCATTGACACCCTTGGGGGAGGCCAAAAAATGTCCACAAGAAGAGACAGATTAGAGAAAGGCATTCCAGCAAGGAGAGGAAAGCCCTACACCCAAGTAGAACAACAGGAACAGAATGAGAACATCAGCAGGAAATTCAAGAGAGCAAAAGGGACGGATCTTCCTGCCTCCCCCCCACACTGGCTGTATTCCCCTTCTGCAATCCCCCAGGACAGGCTGAAGATTGACTGAGAGTGTGACCAAGCAGCCCAGTTGTTCCCGACTGGATCATAAAAGGGATCACTTTGAGGTAGAGTATGCTAATTTGGAGGATCATTGCATCCACATTTAAGGATCAGGTGATTTCCAGGCAGGGAGCCACACTACACCTCAAGCAACCCTATTGAGCCCATTTTTCCCTTGAAAGGGAACAACCTTTTAAAAAAAGATTTATGTATTTATTTTATTTACTGCCTTTCTATGCTGTTTTTCTCCTGACAAGGGAACTTAAGGCAGCCCACAAATCATTAAAAGAACAAGAATCACTGCTGGGTTCATCACATAAAGCAAACTAAAACATTTAAAACCATTTAAAACACATTAAGAGGATATATGAGATCCTACGCGGTATCCCCTCAAGTCTTCCCCTACATGGCAGACTGGGGGAAAGGTGCAGTTTTTTAAAAAAATTATCTGTAACTGGCATACCACTGAATTGGCTTGCCAATCAACCCATTTGGCACTGGACTATAAAGATTTTTTTAAAAGCCCCTGCATCTTCTCTCCACAGGAAAAGCAGGATGAAACTTTCACTTTATAAGTATGTGGTTTGCAGTGGCTTAAGTGAAGTAGGTAAGTGATCTGTTTTGGTTCGATACCAGTGATCAGACATGCCGGGACCAAACCAAAATGGAGTGAGCTTAGTCACACTAAAACAAACAAACAAACAAAGTAAGTAAGTAGGTAGGTAGCCCCGACAGAGACGCAAAAAGATGTGGTTAGGCAACAAAGGGTTGGGCTGGGTTGTGATTGCCAGTACATCAAGCAGTCGCCAGAAGAAGAAAAAAAGCAAACCAGCCCATCTCAAAAGTAGATCAAACCACAAGTCAAAGGTCCATCTGATCATACCCTGGACCAATTTTCCTTTCTCAGCCGGTCTTAATCATGCAGAATTGGTCTGAACCAATCTATGGTACAAGCAAAAGTATATGGGCACGTAAGCTCTAGGAAAGGAAGAGGATGTTAAAAATGGGTAATAGCTGCAAAAGCCAGTGTGGGACCACTGCCAACAGAGGCAGACCTTTCCAAGGCAAAGCAAAACCTGCCAGAGACCCTGACAGGCCCATGTGGGCCACAAGCAATGCCAGCTCTACCATCTCTTTCACAATCCACCCTTGTCGCTACAGAAATGGTGGAATGGCCGCAGGGAAAGGGCGAATTACCTCGGATCAGTCCTTTTTCCTGCAGACTCCGCAGTGGTGGGCGCTTGGCAATGAACCGCCGCAGCTTGCTCTTGACCCGTTTTTTGTAGGCTCTGTCAGGACTAGAGGGTGCTAGGAGAGAGGGGAAGATGAAAGACAAAGGGTTGAGGCAGGTCTGTGGTCTCCCTGCCTCCTACATACGCTAAGCCTCCCTGTAGCGTTGAGCTGCCCCAGATGTGTACCAGGCTGGGTGTCACCTCTTGGGAGTCCAAACTGCTCCTCCTCTTCCTCAGCACTGAGATCCACAAGATCAGCACTGTTTGACCGGGAGAGGGGATACAGGAGGGGCTCGTCCAAAGGATTCTCTTCATCCTGCAAAGCAGAAGGGGAAACATGACGTGGAGATGAGTGGCGGTGGGACAAAACAGCCCAAGGGGCCCAGCCTCTATCATTTGCTGTGACTGCAAAATGTGCTGAATGTTGGAGGGGAGGGGAGTCTCTTTTTTTGGAAGGGGGTCTTTTCTATGCAGAATGATGGTACAGTATGACACGGGAGCCTCATGGTGGAGTGGTTACACTGCAGTATTGCAGTGAAGACTTTGCTCCTGACTCGAGTTTGATTATTGACTCAGGTAGCCAGTTTGAGGTTAACACAACCCTCCATCCTTCCGAGGTCAGTAAATTGAGAACCCAGATGACTATGAGAGGCAATGAGTAGCCTCTATAATTAAATTGTAAACCACCCAGAGAGTGCTTAAACCACTATGGGGCAGTACATAAGCAGCACACCTTGCTTTTTGGCTTTAACCTGACAATATAGCACTAATCTGTACATAGAGAACTACCCATAGCGGTAAACTGAGCACCCTGGAACAAAAGAGTAGAGAAAATCAACCATGATTTGGAGAAGGACAGAAAGCTGCAGAACCACATTTGGTGGTGGTGGGGGAACTAGGTACAAACCAAGATAAAAGGAAGGTTGTCTAGATGCCAGGGAGATTTCCAGTAACATCACTGTGTATGGTTAAGGTTAAACAAATGCTCTGTTTGGAGGTTCTTTGAGGTATACAGCCTTAGACTAGAGGTGGCATGGGTTAGCTAATGATTTGCCCCATTATGTCTATTTCTGAGACATACTGATGTTTCCAACAGAGGGAGGGGAGACTGGAAGTAGTTTAAGCTGCTTGGCATGCCTCACTTACCAACCTACGGATGACTCCCTTGATAGCTTGGTACCACTCTTGGCTGACAGTCTCGCTGTCTGATTGCAAGAGATACTCGTTTCCTGTCACAGTGCGGAACTGAGAAGACAAGAAGAGACCCAGCTGGGTTACTTGTTAATCTCGTGTCACCAGTGTAGACAATGGTGGCCCTCCAGATGTATTCAGACTGCAAAAAAATCCCTTGTCATTGGTAATGCTGTCTGCAGTGATTGAGGCCATAGCCCAACAACATCTGGAGAACATCAGTTTTCCTCCCCTGCAGGAGACATTGACCCATTTCCCACAAGGTGCTACACCAGAAGGGGAAAAAAATCACATCATCCATGTGTTTTCCTTCACTCTTCCCTTTCCACAGGCAGGTAAACACACTAAGAACTTATAGCTTTGTGTTCTGTCTAAAGTTAACCTTCAATGAGGCTGGGAAGATATGCAAGGTAGCTGCAAAACCTAATTTAAGATCCCGGCTTCCGTGGGCACAAACAAACCATAATCCTGTATTCTGACAATGCGAACAACATCCCTTTCTGGTTTGTTTACCCACCTGTGCAAAAGGAAGGGTGCAGCAGATGTGAATAGGCTGCACACACCAACTTGTTCACAATGTGATGTGTTAAGCCAGGATTCCAGGCTTAGCAGAAGTCACAAATGCAACAATTATCTTGATATTGGAGGGGGACATGCATGAGAAACCACCATGTATTTATGAAGTAGGCGTTTACTCTCAAGAACAGGGCACCTTAATCCTGTGGGTCTAGTTGGTCACAGGCCTAGGTGAGGAGATAGAGGAGAGATTCCCAGAAGCCTCTTCTGGAGGAAGTCAATTCACCAGTCTAGGCACTTCCTCTTCTTTCCTCACTAACATGCAGTACCCTTCATTTTACATGCCTTCTTGGAACTGAAGAAGGACCACTACAGGTCAACTCTTCAGTGGCCTTGGAGAAGAACGAGAAACCAGTGCATGGTGGATGAACAGGGTTCAATTCTCAGGTGTGTGACATTTGACCCCATGTATCTCTCTGGAGAAAGTGGGACTGCTGCCATCCATTTCTGCACATTTCCACACTCACATGGATGACATTCCGCTTGCTGGACAAGTCCCTGGCCCAGTCTATGCGGGCACCTCGCAAATCCACACTGCTTTCAGGCCGGCTACTGGACGGAGTCTGCAGAAAGGAAGAAAAAAGGGGGGAATTAGAAATTTCCCCATGAGATTCCCTGCCTACTAGGGTCCAGCTTGCATATGTTTAGAGGGCAATGGCGAAGGACTGGAGTGGCCTCTGGTGGTTTCATGGTCAACCTGTGTTCCTTCCACTATTCCACTCCTCATGAGGATTGGGAACCTTGCTTTCTGTTGAGCACAGAATTCATTCGCAGAGAATCAATGGGGCTGTTGTACGCTGGCCGTGGGGGCAGGACCAGAGTTAGCTGGCGTGGAGCCAGATGCAACATGGGAGGAGGGCATCCTTTCCCCTTTCTCTCTCCCTCTTGTCTGTCATGCCTTTGAACTGACTTCCTTGCAGAAAGCCCCCACATCTCTCTCTCTCTCTCTCTCTCTCTCTCTCTCTCTCTCTCTCTCACACACACACACACACACACACACACACACACACATACACACACACACCCCACACCGCTGCCTACGTGCTCCACTCACCCATGCAGCTGCCACCTTGGGGTCCTTGTAGAACATGAGGCTGTTCCCAGCCAAGACCAGCCATGAGGATGCCCAGCACTTTCTGGCAGTTCAAACGAATCAGGGTGGGTGAGCAAGGCGGGGGGGGCAGGGGGAGGGGAGGAGGAGAGAAAGAATGTGAGAAGGAAGATGAACATAATGAGAGATAAAACTGCCAGTGGATACCCCCCCCAAAAGGCACCCTTGTCCTCCAAAAAAAAATGTTTTCAAAGAAATGCTCCCACAATCAGATCACACTGGATGGGTAGTGTCCTTTGTTGCAATAAGCACTTACAATTATTTATTACAGTAGGACCCCCTTGTCTGTGGGGGATCCATTTCAAGCCCCACTGCAGATGCTTAAAAAAAACAGACTGTAGCGAACACTATTACAATAGCAAATGCTGGTTTCTGGCTCGCTCTAGTGGCCAGTTCTGGTAACTTCACCTTTTGATATACATATTTCTAGGATTTTTCTTTTAATAGTTTTAATATTTCAGGCTGTGGATAAGTGAATCAGCAGATACTGAGCCCGTGGATATAGGGGTTCTATTGGACTCTACCTCATCTTTCTCTTGTAGAACCACCTAATGAGCCTTTGGTGGCCAAAGTTGGGTGGTGAATGTGCCCATATTCTGCATTTCCAGACTGCACGTGAAAGGCTTGTGCATGATCCTGCTCTAACAGAATTGAGACTGGGGGGCAAGGTGCTTCCCAAAAAGAGAAAACTCCTGTCAGCTCAAGGGAGCATGGTCCATTATCGAAGATGCTGGCAATTGTAGTACAACAGCACTGAGGGCAAATAGCTTACTCACCCCAAAACAAGGGCCTGGATCTAATTGATGTCCTAACTGGCATAGACCAATTAGATAAATAGGATCTAGATAAGTGCTGACTTACCATACACCAGTGGTCACCAACCTTGGGCCTCCAGATGTTCTTGGACTTCAGCTCCCAGAAATCCTGGCTAGCAGAGGTGGTGGTGAAGGCTTCTGGGCGTTGTAATCCAAGAACATCTGGAGGCCCAAGGTTGGGGACCATGGCCATACACCATCTGGGATGGGGTAGCTCCAACTTCAGTTGAGGCTAGCAATTGGACTTAGGTTTAAAAAAAATTTCCATACCACCATGCAGCTTCATTTAGAGAACAATGAAGACGATTTAGTGGTTCTGTTCTATTTTATAGCTCTCCCACGTTTTCCTCCTCCTCCTCCAATCTTTTTTCTTTCAGTAAAGTACAGATATTGCTTTTCAAGAGAGAAAGGTACAATTTCTGTGCTACCACCATGATCCTAAAGGCTGAGGATCCAATTGAATGCTACAGTTAACATGTCATTAGAAATGCTGCTCTTTCAAGAAGTAAAGAAGCCTTTTTATGCCAGCAGGAGTTTTCCTCACCAGCAGATGCTGCAAACTTGCTTGCTTTTGTTTTGTGAGTGGTGTTGTGGCCATCATTTGAGCCCTACAGTAAGGATGAAGCAGAACCTCCAGAACATGACACCAGGGAAGAACAGCCAGGCCCTCCAGACCTTCAGAAGAGTCTGGGCTTGAATCTGTAGGGCCTGTCAGTTCTCCAGAGAAAGAGCTTCCTTGGCAGCAAGTGGTCACCTTAGGAGAAAACTATTCCTCCCAAGAAGAGCAGTGGGCCAACCCTGCAGCTGAATGTATTCCTTGGCTAAGCAAATACTTGTAGCTTAGTGTTGGCTGGAGCCTCAGCAGTGCAGTTGGGAGACTGTTGACCCCTAGGAACAATGTCTTCATTGGCTCAGGGTGTTGCTTCCTGTTGCTGACTATAAACTGTACTTGACCTCTGCCTGTGTCCTTGGACACTCCCTGTTGGTTGAGGGGTCAAGCCTGGCTTGCCTGTATAGCCCATGACTAGCCTGTGGCATAGGATCTCCCTTGCTGTCAGATGAACCTCTGGATACCTGACCCGCTGCGTTGCTTTGGCTTTGACTAGTGAGTTCCTGGGCATGTTCCTGGCCTAGATGGCACCACTGAGTCCAGTCCTCCAGCGAGCGGGACGTTAGAAAGGTAAAAATGAACTTCATTTGTAAGTCTGATTGCCCACACTTTAATTACATCTCTGAAGGCAAAACCTACTATAGGCTTCTAATTGTGAGGACAGTGTAAAGGCTAAGATAATTCCCCCACTAAAAACCCTCTGTTTGGAGATACATGTTGAAGGAATCCCATCCATATCTGCAGTCATAATCACATGGGCACCTCTGCCATGAATTCTGCCAAGGATAACTCTTTTTCTCTTGCATTTCAATTCATTAGGCAATCTGTTTGCCAGTTTCATTCACCAAATGACCCCCTTTTCTTATTCACAGTAAATAGCCGAAACCCTGTGGGCACCCTGAGGCTGCTACCAAGGGACACCCAGCACAGTCACTAAATCAAATGATCTGTCACCAGAACAGAAAGCGGGCTGCACCAAAACCAGTTGTCCCAATGAGCCCCTGCCACATCCCTCTTATTTAGCAGCTCTAAACTTTGCATGCCCCGTTCTGCTGAGTTTGATTCCTCTTCCTTCCGAAGCTTCTCTCACTTGTAGAGAAAACTCTGTCTCAGCTCTGGTTTATTCTCTCCCCTCCTTCATCAATGACAGGAGCTGGAAAAGGCCCATGATGCATTCAGGGCCCCTCCCAGCCCTTTTGTCCATTCATGGCCAGGACATTGCTTGTCAAAATCCCTTCAGCTGTGAAAGGCTCATACAGGCAGAGCGGAGGAGCCAGCCAGATTAGCATGCCGGTTACAGAGAGGCAACGGCTTCCTGGGTACCCACAAAAAGGGATGGAAAGCCATCTCCAAATATCTCCCCACACAGAAACACACACACATACACCCCACATCCACTGCTGGGAATCCGGCTGGGTACCTGAGTTTCCGGCCTCCTTCTGCAATCTTCGTTTTGTTCAGCTGCCCCGATTTCTCCACCATCTGCAGTGAAACCACAGTGTCAGCAAGAGCCTTGGACAAGTGTGCTGACCTTTCCCTGAGGGACACGACAATTCCTCTGTGGTTCTTTGCCGCTCTTGATTTCCCACAAACCTGAGCGCCCCCCCCAAATTCCCACCCCTACAGGGGACTCAGCCACTGAAAATATGTCCATCAGACAGAGGGGAGGGAGAAGAAATACCACTGCCTGAAGGAATAGGAGGAAAATAGAGGAAGCCTCCCAGATCCTGGAAAGGATCAGGTATAACAGTAGAGAGGGCAAACATGGCACCAAAACAGCAGAGAGAGAACAAGAACAATTAAGAGCTAAAACTGAATGACTATTCAGATAGGATTATTCCGACACCCTTCTGGGTAACTGTCCTTCAACAGCTGGAAGTCTGTGATGCAAACACAGTAAAGGATGCATACGTAGACAACTCCGAGTAGCTGTCTGCATAAATGACACTAGAAGGTTGACAGAGTCATGTATGCAGATCACTGGCAGAAGGTCTTGTTGGACCTGCAGGTGATGCCGCATTCTCTATGGGCAGCTGGTGAAGAAGGAAAGTTATTCTGAAACATATAGTTCAGTATAGGTGAATAGTCATTACAGTTTATCTTATCCAGACCACAGTTTTTGCCCTCCCTATCTCAAGTCTTAAAAATAGCCAAGTTCTCTCCTGGGAGGTACAATCTCAAAGGAAGGCATAGATATCTCAGGCTTTGCCAAGGGCACCCAGGTGCCTAGGAAGGACCTCCCCACCACTGTGAATGCTGCCTTCATTCTCTGGCCCCACACCACAATGTCTTCTTTGCCCAGCATCAACCTTCCCTTCCACTCTCCTCCTCTAGCTCGGAAGCAATCTGGAAATGAGCCAGTGGGAGAGCAGAAGTCCTACCAGCCCCCAGCAGTCTTCCCACAAAGACCTCCTGCTAAGCATGGCCTAGGCTTCGGGTCCTGGGCAAAGGTCATGAGCCTCACCCCAGATCCTTTCTGGGGACGGCCACAGAAGGGCCCAGAAAGGGGCAGGATAGGGGATCCCCTTATTTCTTCAACCATATTACTACCCAGCCTCTCCTCCCAGGGGTCGTAACACAGCATACATGATTTCCTCTCTCTCCTACTACTGGTCTTTGATCCTCACAACAGCCCTGTGAGGTAGGTTAAGAAAAAGTGGCTCTCAAGGCCATCCAGAATCAAACGTATATGTTACAGACAGCCCCTGGTTAGAGACTGAAATCTTTTAGCATTTCAGAAACGTGACTCAGGCAGACTTTCTCGTGTCCGAACCATCATGCCCGCAAACAAAACTTGTGCTTACCTCCTAATGAACTGTCATACCTCCTATGAAAACCAGACTGCATTAGGTTTTAAGGGATTATTTATTCTAATGATGAGCTGTCTGAAACATAATATAATTTAGCTCCCCATGAGCTTTGTGAAGGGCGATTCCTCTGGTCCTAGTTCTCTGGAACTCATCTGTGGTCCTAGACTTCCTTAGGAAGAGATTCATGTTCCTGATTCCCTGACTGGCCTCCCATGAACTCAGGCTTTCCTCCAGGTGGGGACCACCAGCTGTGGTGAACTACAACCTCCATCGACCCCAACAGGACTGGGCTGAGAAAGTATGCTCGCTGCTCCACCTCTCAGTCGCCTGTACTTACGTGCAGCCGATCGGGGCTGTGTGAAGACGAACCATTTGCCGCTGTGGCTGCAGGACCGTCACCCAACCAGGCCTCAAAACTGTGTTGGGAAAGGTTCCTACGATGACTTCCCTGTAAGGGGGGGGGGAGAGAGAGAGACATAAGAAGAGGGTTCCACCCAAACTGCTTTTGAGTGTGTGGGTGTGCATGTGTGTGTGCATGTGCCACTTCCTACACCTGGTGTTCTCCCCATCAACATGCATCAATACATCCCTCCCTCCTTCTACTTCAGTTACAAGAAGCCATGCTCTCTGTCCCATGCCTCTCCTTTGATCCTCTGCCCAGCAAGGAAATCCTAAGGAGGTCCCTGGAATTCTCTCCTCCTCCTCCTCCTCCTCCTCCTCTCGCTACTCACCTTGGGCCCTCGGGTCTCTGGCAGCACCATGGATTTGGTGTAGCCCAGCTTCTTGTCCCTGGCCCTCAGGCCCTGGCTAGCAGGCTGCTCGCCCTCCTTCTCTCCGTCCTCCCCTTCGTCCAAGGGCGGCTCGCCCTCGGCAGGCTCGGCTGGGG